GATCTTGCGAATTACCGTCATCACCCGCGACAGAGGGCGCTGGGGAAGCCGTGACCGCAGACCTCAAATCGTAGGTCCCCAAAAACCTTTTGTTCCCAAAACGCTACGTTCGAAGTGGACGCTGCAATTCGGCGAATGATCACCAAAGAGAGTTAGTGAAAGCCGGCTTCAGACATTGTATTTGCATTGTGAGAGGGTGGCAAACGAGCTGGCGGTTCACCTGATGTTAAGTGATAACCACCGCCCGTGGACATTTGCAATACTCGTAGGCTACCTCACTCACCAGATGAAACGCTGAAGTATATCGCTTCCACTTCACGCCGGTCTTCTGTGAGGTCGTGGTCATTCGCGTATGTAGGGCTATTTTTCAGGGTGGGCCTGGGCCTGCTACAAAAAAAAACGAACACTGTAGAACTGTTAAACAACGCAACGAATTTTGATGCGACTTTCAACAATAGATATTATTCAACAGGAAGGTTTACAAGTAGCATATACGCATATTAGATATGATAAAATTCAAGAAATTCAATTTCTTTGACATTTGACAATATCTACATTTTTTTTTTCAATATCTACATTGCACCTCGCTCTCCTCGCTCAGTTTCAATCTGCTTTTGGCGATGAAGATAGGTGTCCAGCCTAGAATTTCGAATAGGTAACCCAAAATCCTGGGGTGGGCACGGCCCACCCGGCCCCCCCGCTATATACGCCTATGGTCGTGGTACTTACTCGGACGGACCTACCCATTCGTGCAACAGCGAAGACTGTTATGTGGCAATACCACCTCTTTCAGCTTCTCCCTCCGCGTAGCTTCCAGTTTAAATCGTTACTGATGAGGTTCACCTGTCCAACCACACGCTACAACCTTACAATATTTGTCGTCACCATTATTTCTTTTGCATTTTGTGCGGAAGATGATGGCTATAAAGTCCCGACGACCACTGCGACCTGGAATATCTATTGTAGTCTTCCCTTCCAAAACATTTGCCCCCTTACTATAGGATAACAGTGTTAGTTATTTGAAAAGTTATTTGAATCACTTTTGCTTAAATTTAAGGACATTAATAAATACATCAAGACATGGGACATTTACAGAAATTATTAACACGGCTGATTCTCGATGGCTCGGTGGCACAGTTGACAAGCTATTGGCTATGATGACGGTGTCGAGTTCGATTCCCACACGGGAAAAGTATTTGTGTGATCCATGGATAATTTGTTCCGGCCTGGGTGTTCCCACGGAGGGTTGATGTCGTTTTAAACCTAGTCCATACGATTAACAACATCTAAATGATGTTGTGCTGATGAATGCTAGCAGAATAACTTAAATAATTCTAATATTATTTAAAAGAAACCAATAAACTGAGGAAGCTGGTCTCCGAAATTTCTGCACGAATACATTGTATGACATAATTATAGTTGTAAAATATTTGTATTTGTTATATAACATAAATAAAATTTGTGGACAAAAAAATTTGTAAAAAAAAATAATATTATAGAAAATACATTATATAAATAGGGACGCAGAGGTATAAAAACAAAGAAAACACGCATCACTAACGTAGTGCTTAACAAAATCTTAATAATTAAATAACTTCACATTAAATAAAAATATTACATTTTCTTATATCATAAGGGTCAAATGTCAAAGAAATAAAACTGAGACTGATTAATTGAAGTCTATCTAGTAATTTTTCTGTGATGCGCGTACAACCGCACCGTTTTATTTATACAGATTATATGTACTAACGCCATCTAGAAACATAAAGGGCACTAAAATATTTCTTCGAAGCAAAACCAATTATTTGTAAATAAATAATAGATGGGCAACAGTAAAACCACAGAAATTATAATCTATTTATTTAAAACGGCGCATGCCATTTTATTTACCAGCACGTCGACTGTGTTTATTGCGCTGGTTAATTTATCGCGTTCAAATGTAAATAGTTTAACACGTAAAAACACGCGCGTTAACTACTCACGCAATAAATAAATAGGCATTAAACAATATCCGATTTGAGTTCCGAGAAATGAAACTATATTCGCTGGACACCAAGCCTTATTAAATATTATATAATATAATGTTCTGACAAAATTAATAATTAACGCCCATTTTAATCGTTTTTATCTATATGGACTATTAATAAAATAATTAAATTAGTTAAGATGAATAAATTATTGTAATCGAGTAAAATAATTTTTAATTGATTGAATAGCGCTTTAGATGGTCTGCCCTTAAAGGCGCATCAGCAGTTAGCAGTAACTATTCTTTATATTTTTATGACTGATGTTGTCGAACCCAAAAGTATTTAGATAGCAAGCAATAACTTAAAACTCTAAGACCCGAATGGCGTAGTGGGTGGTGTACCTGCCTTCTGCGCCAGAGGGTGTGGGTTCGATCCCCACCACTGGAAAAATATTGTGTGATGAACATAGTGTTTTTCTAGTGTCTGGGTGTTTATATATCTATAATATGTATTTATTTACAAAAGAAAAGTACGTTTAAGTATGTTTATCAGTTATCTAGTAACCATAGTACAAGCTTTGCTTAGTTTGGGACTAGAGAACGTTGTGTGAAAATGTGTCCTAAAAATTATTATTATTATTATTATTACTAATCATTAAAACTATTATTAAACGTAATTAAATATTTACGCGCACTCTACATACAACAAAATTAAACATTTTATACGGGATTTATTTTCAATTAATATTTATTACTTATTTTAATAAATAAAACTTTAGCAATTCTTATACCTAACCAAACCAACAAAATATTAAGAAATTAACATTTGTAAGAAACGCCATCTAACGCCAAATAGGCACAACAAAATGTAAAAGTGATGGCGTCATCTATAGTCAAGTAGCATTACTACAACGATATCACTACAACTTACTTTAAAACACCATCTATATTTAAGTTTTAAATTTAATAGCTATTTAATTTTGTAATGCCTTTAAAATACTATATGTATATTTTTAGCATACAATATATTTTTGCAACGTGTAAACTATTGTTTCTTAAAAAAATAAAACAAAATATTACTTTTACTTTATATTAATGCTTTTTGCCGTTTCTGTTATTACAATTTTCCATTTTATTCATTTCATGACCCAATTCACTTTTGATAAGCTCGTCCAGGGAAGTACCACGGCTTTACACAAGATCGATATAAAGTGGAACTGTTATACTACGTATAACAGTTACCGGGCCTAAGGCCCTTTTACTAAAAGGTAGTACTCAGTAAAGATGGTCATGCAGATGTGTTCCTCTCGAGATGCCCATCGGGTGTACTGACAGAGATCAAAATTTCTTTCTTAACTGCCTGGTTTAACATAGTCTTCAAGGAAATTAAAATAAATCTTTATTCTCTATAATAGGTACCAGGCCAAATATCACATATATCTATAGCTAGTGTACACTCTAAACTTTTATTGTTAAATGTATGCATAATAAAACAAAAATGAATGCTGGTTAACATATATTTCTTACTTAACACATTTAACCTACTTATACATATATTAAAAGTACATAATATATATCTCATACAATAAAAATTTCGAACTTTTGCAGTGTCCAAATTCAAGAAATATATGAAAATTCTGTAATATTGTTTAATTCAAATTTCAACTTTAGTTTGATACTAAATTAATGTTTTTCACTGGATCATCAATTGCCACAGAAGCAAGTTTTATAAATAAATAGCTCACGGAAAACATTTTTGTAAAGAAACCCGTTTATACTATATCACATATAATCAAAACTTCTACTGCGGCATGGATGGACCAGCTCAACCGACAAAGCATTTTGATGTTTAAAGACCAGTGAAAAGTAGAAGTGATATATAATTGCTTTTTGTAGTAAGACAATCCGACAATCCTCTCTTCGACATTTTATAAAGAAAGTATAACCCCAAAGGAATTAATGTCTAGAGTAACAGATCACTTGCAATCTGAAGGACCACTTTGCCTATTAAAATAAAGATTATCCTAAATGCAATATTATCTCTTGTAACAAAAGCAAACATATATTGTCGACATTGAGATCGTAAGGTGGCAGTAACTTTGCGGCTTATTTCGGTAACGTATACACTCCAATTCAAAGTATTATATATAAGTATTATATTTATATATAATCCTATTCTTAAAAATGAAAACAAGCCACAATACATTTGAACAAATATTTTCACAGCATTGTTGGCTTCTTAATATGAAGATTCAAATTATCATAGACATATTCATTATGAAGATTTAAATTAAATTATCATAGACAATTATTGAAAGCTAATAGTTTTATAGAACATAGAGGTTAATTTGTTCTCTGAAATTAGGAGGTAAGGCCTTATAATCTAATAACCCATATGTGGCAGCCAATTGTTCAACTATTTTCTTCATCAATATCACCAAAAATAGACAATGAGCCTGTCAAATTGAGCAACATTGAAGCAAAACATACATACATATAAAATACCTATACATATATGAATAACAGCCTTAATTTTGCAATGCCATTAACTGCACAATTGGAATTAATATATTTTATACAAGGTCTGTTCGGATACATGTCATATTTATTTCACATTTTACAACATATGCATGATCCATTGCTACATTGTCCCTCTACTATCTTTTATACTTATGTTAATCCATAATAATTTTTTTCCAATATATTTTTTTAATAACACTAAAATATGTTTTAATTGCAGTCCAAAGAAAGATTGAAATATGCTTGTGACCATACTCTTGAAAGATTAAAGTTGATATGAGTCCCAACAAAATTTTATTTGAAAAATTTTGAATAAGACTATTTTAAAATTCAAAGAGGTTTCATTGCGACACATTGAAAAAACTAGATAGCAAAGATGTTTCCAGATTCTTTTAACAATACACTGCACTTCCATAAAATCCACAAGAGGTGATAAAAATGCACTAATCCAGTAAAGGAGTTTTTACCCAGCTACACGACATAGATAGATTTCAAATTGACACCGTCTGGCTCACTTTCCCTGTCTCTTCTTCTTCTTTCTCCTCCTGACCTCGCTGTATTCGCTCTCCACCGTACCACTGAGGTCCTGGTAGCCTTCTGAGGTGTGGCTCTCATAGTTGGGGAAGTTTATGCCATCCGTCTGCTGATAGTTCTCGGAGAAGGGCTCCGAGAAGCGGGTGCTCAGGGCTTCCGAGCCGAAGAACTTGTTGGGGAAGGCATCTGGCTGGAGGTTGTGGTACTTCTCGGCTTGAGGGTACATGCTGCTGATAATGTTGGTGGCGAGGGCGGCGGGCGAGGCGGGATGGGCGCCCTGCTGTAGCGGTCAGAACTTCAGGTCCTGCACAAAGGGAGGTAAACATTATGGTGGAATACACATGGCGTTATGTAACAGACGATAATTCTTCTTTTCGTATACACGAGAACACTACTTATGGTATATAGACCACAATAGACCTTATAGGTCTGCTTAGCTGGAACTTACTACCCAACCTCTTTCACACAAATCATAATCAAAATATATCTCAACTCAATTTATCTTAATTTCCTTTTCTATGATTGATATTCCTTTCTAAGCTGGCTAGACATATAAAAAAGAGGCAGATTGCCACCTTTAAGATAAGGGTAAATCTTCTTAAACTAGAAGTTAACTATGAATAAAAAAATTTGTGTCAAACTTACAAATAAGGAAGTGTGAAATTAGAAACACCACATTTTTGTGTTATATGTAAAAAAAATGTATTTAACGTTAAAAACATACCCTATTGACCATCGGAATAGTGAAATTAGTTTGTAGACTATAAGTGGCAATTACCTTTATTGCCTGCGGGAGGTCTGGGAGTTTCATGTCACGCAGCTGTTGAGGCAGGTTCATGCTCTTTACGGCGGAAACTGCCCTAGCGGGGGCGGCAGATATGCCAGCCTGTCAAAGTATACAAAATTTACATGTAATAATATTAAATATACAAAAAAATATACAGCGTGTCTTTACAATGGCGCCAATAAATGGACACACATATAGAGGATAACTTGTTAAAATTGTATTAAAGATTTACATTCTTTAAACTTTTTATCTTATTTACCAAGTTATCAAATTTTCCAAAACAAAGAATTTTAGAACACCCTTACGTATAAAACTATTACGTAAAGTTCATTTCTAAAGGTTACAGAGCATATGAATGGGTTGAATGAATTTAAAAGAGACAAAACATACTGTTGGAAGGAGAGGCTTGTAATGCGACGCTGTGGCGCGAGTTGTATGGGATGTTACAAATTTTGTTTCTTTTTTACTTAATTAGTTTGTTTAAAATATATTTTTTTTAAATTATGCATTTTGTTTAACGTTAATATTTTTTATGATTATTGGCACGTAACGTTAGACGTGTGTTCATTTATTGTCGCGATGGTAACGACACGCTGTATACAACACATACAGGTGCTTCAAGCCAGATTAACCATCTATTACATATACATCTACTTATCTATTAAAACCTTACTGCAACTTAATACTTGGCGTTATTTTTAGTAGTACTGTAAATATTTGTAAAAAAATATACATCATTTATGAATTAATCATATATTTCATTCTAATATAAAAACTGAACCTTGTTGTATTTCTTTAAATACGATTTTAAGCATCATGAGGTCGACACTGTGGTGCAGATGCCGAGGTAATATCTCAGCACCAGAGGTTGAGGGTTCAATTCCCATACGAGACAACTATTTGTGACCCACAAATAATTGTTTCAGATCTAGGTGTTTGTAGAAGTAAAATTTATGTATGTAAAACAACCTCACAACACAGGATAGTGTTATCTTACAGTAAGGGGCCAATGTTTTCTATATGAAGACTACACTTAAACTTCTATGTTACAATGGTTGTTGGGGCTTACTGTACAACACTTTCCACCCAAAAAACAATACAAACTATATAGAACTGCTATTGTATGCTAAAATGGTTCCTTTAACACTAATCCATCTATGCTCCACTGTAAACCAGAAATCGCAAAAGTTTTTCGCAATCTTCTGCTGAGTGGGTGAACTTTATGTGCTTTGATTGATAATTTTCCATTGTTATTTTGTTATTTTAAAAGTTTTTGTATCAAATAAACATTTCTTTCTTTCTTTCTTCTTTCTAATAATAATATGTTTGACTCTTCGCAAACCTCAGCTTTCTGCATTTTGTTTTGCTCCTGCAATCTGCACAATATATCCGCCATGTTAGTCTGCAGCACCATTCCGCCCATTACAAGCTCGTCCAGGACCTGGTGAGCGGCGTCCGCGTGGAAAATCAAGTCCAGCTCGCAGACATTCTCGAAACACTTGTCTAAGGTTTCAACGAATACCTACAAAGTATGAGTTGAGATTGTATTCTATGTTTCACAAGTATATTACCTTATGTATTAATATTTTAAGATTTAAAATTTGTAATAAAAATGTCGAAAAGCTTTTTGCTGCCACGAGGACATCCTCACTGCGGGATAAAACTATTCGTGACTTTTTCTACAAATTTTAAGTTTCATGTTTAGTGTAGAGAATAGCGCTATAAAAATTAATATCATTCAAATGTTTTAAGAATATATCTATCTGTGTGTATTTTTGTTAAATTCTTTTATCACTATTTAAACAAAATAAAACTAAACTTAAAAGTAATAACAGTGTGTTATTAAACATCATAATTTATTTTACAAGTGAGAAAATTAATAAACTTAATTAATTAAGTTAATAAACGAGTTACTAAATAAGGAATGCCTCCTATTTGTAACTTTGGCCACCATGGGCTAGGTATAAAAATTTACTAGAAGGCGTACCTGAATCAAATCTAGAATACCAAGTTCACTCTCCGAAGAATCCACACAGAATACAAAATAAAGTGTTGCATAGTGCCTGTAGATTAATTTATAGTCTGAACCTCCAATCAAACTGGAAAAAAAACAATCTGTAATGTTGTGTTTTAGTTTCAACTTAGGTAGGTCTACTTTTTGGTGAGTTATCAACTTCTACTTTGACATTCTTGAATTCAAAACCATTAACACTTACAATGTAAACTAGTGAGCCACTTTCAGTCATCATCACCTCAGAAAACTGGTGTGTGAAATCAAAGTGTGTACTATTGCATTTTGTGTGGTGAATCAACCCTATTTGTGTCCATGGGCGGCGATTATCACTTAACATCAAGTGAATAGCCTTGGTATGTTACATTCTCACATAAAAAAATAAGTTAATTCTACTTCTACATCTTCCAAATGAATTTACATTTTACAGTTTATGGGTATCTTATTACTTTAGTTCACCTAAAACCACACATAAAATGAAAAAAAAAAATAGTTTAAAAAATTATTTTATACTACAAGCTATATTTTCAAGTAATATAAAAATAAAAATACCTAAGGTTGAACAAGAGTCTACTTGAGATATGTACTTTCATCTTTTCAATAAAAATAATTCCAATTTTAAACAATTATTGTAATAAGTAATTAGTTCCATCTAACGGGTTGAAATGATGATGATGAATTCCATGTAATCCGTTTTCTTTCTAAAGAAAACAGTACTTAATTTAACACAATGTCTTTCAATTCCATTTCAAAGAATCTAGAATCTCTCCTCAAATTAGGATAAAATGTGCCTAATATTATGTATATTGGGTTCATATAAAAAAATCAAAAAAAATCATCAAATAAAAAAAAAGGTTCAGAGTTTCCATCTACAAATCAATTCTCCATCAGTTATTGTTTCACATTCAATAAGATTTAATCTTTAGTCTAAAACCTTAACTTTAAACACTTTTTCCACACAACAGGCTCAAATACACATTAAATGAAGATTAATTGGGTGCATAAGGTATATATAGAGTACATATAAAAACCATATATTAATTTTTAGACTCATACCTGCCGCCTTCAAGGAAATTACAAACATTATCATCCCGTTTAGACACCAACTGAAAAGTTTCCTTGATTATCTGCTGTTGCATGTCTTCATTCTGAAATGCATAAGTATTTGTATAAGTGCAATTTGGAATAGGGATGTTTTTGGTACAATATTTAAATATGGAATGAAATAGGTAAAGTATAATTGAAAAACAAAACTCTGTTGAGATGTGAATTATTAAATTGTATAAATGTAAAATTATATCAACCTATAATGGTTGGAATCTGCCTGTATATATTATTATTATGTCTGCGACATTATAAATAAAAGGGACATAGAGTGAATATGACATATTCACTCTACGTTAGGTAGCTCCAAAAGCTTTTAACAATTTTGGCATGAAAGTAAAAGCTCTCTTCTTCTTGACAAACAATTTGTGTAAAAAGAAATAATGTAATTTTACTTACGAAGTATTGATAAAATTTTGATAATCGTGGCTTCCCGTGGTTGTTAAAAACTAAAATAGCTTTAATCATGTTGATTTTTATTAATTTTTTTCAAGAAATCAAAACTTTATGAGCAAATAAACATTTGAAGCATATGATGAATAATAACTTTGTACTAAATATAGAATATTGAATTTATTTAACAATAAACCGAATCCAATATATGTCATTGATTAACAACTGTATTGACTTGACAAGATGACAAGTAATGACAACTTGAAAGCTTGAAACTGACTTGACACTACCATAGTCTACTTTCTTTTTTTTTATTTATATAATTTAACGGCTTGGGTATGATGTTCGAATATATTTACATTTTAACCTTGTTTATTGCCATGTAAATTTGTTTAGATATTCTATATATAAAAATATACATATTAAAAATTCATAAAATCTTTATCTTCATCATTTCAGTTAAGAGTCAAAAAGAAGAAGAAAAGTTAGACAAAAATAAACAACCAGAAGGTATTCTTAGATATTTGAAACCCTTTGTTTTTTTACCATTATTGTGTCATTGGCGATATCATAAGGACCGCCAGCTGCCTTAAAAGAAGAAGAAGAACCTTGTTTATTTTTCATTGCACGAAAATATTAACAATATAACATATCTTAAGTCGCATGCCGCATCTATGCTCAATTAATGGCAAAATATTTGACCTATGCGTGGGTTTATCTATTGACTGTCGGAGATGGATGTAGAAATAATTACGATAATTAAACAGCCATATATGGAGAGGACGACCTGTGGGAATGTGCGGGAAGCCGATGGATGCAGATGGCTCAGGATCGTACTTCGTGCCAGTCTATGGGAAAAACCCATGTTTAGCAGTAGAGTGGACTCAGTGGGAGTTCAGAACAGTTGGGAATTCTCCTTACAACCTATTCATTATTACACGTTCATTGTAAAACAATGATATTTCATACTATAGATATGTTTAAAGAATATTTCCAAACATAGTGACAGCACAAATTTTTGTTACCGCAGTAAAGTCCAGACATCCCCTGAAATATGTTTTTTTATAAATGGTTAAAAAACTTCGACGCTGCGGCATTCAAACCTGCGTCTACCGGGTTCGTACCTAGAATGCCAAAATTAATCTAAATGAAATGGGCACCACAATTAATTGTGGGCTGTGGCTTATTTTGTCATTATTGACATAAAAATAATTTGTGATAAGAATTATTTATTCTATATAATTTTATTTATCGGATTTCTTAACATAACTAATGTATATGGTTATCTGTAACAGAGAAGATTTAAGATTTTTTGTTAATTATCTGTAGCGTTGCGCTCCAGCGGTCAGGCGAACGCTGGATTCCGCGAGTGTCATTAGAAGAATATCGTAAAAAAAATAGATGGTTGTTGTGTGAAATAACTTGCCCGAGTGAGTGTTAGTGCTTATTACAAACCAAACTCTTGAATGGAATCTTATCGCGACATCGTTGAAGCTATAGATATAAAAAAAACAGGTCAGTATTTGTTGAATGGTCGACAGTCATACTTTGATGTCTTTATTTGGATGCCGGGCTGCGATTCCAGCGGTGTCGGTTGGCTGTTTAATGATCGTAATTATTTCTGCATCCATCTCCGACGGTCTCAATAGATAAACCCACGCACAGGTCAAATATTTTGGCATTAATTGTGCATATATGCGGCTTAAGATATGCCATGTTTAAACTTGAATAACAATATTTTCGCGCAAAGAAAAATAAACAAGGTTAAGATTTAAATATACCTAAAAATCGAACATGTAAAGATTCTTTGTTTAAGAATTTCTTATATATTCAACAAAAAGTGATTTTTGTGTGTGTTGTGTTTATCTTTCTTTGATGAATTTATAAATAGCAATTTAAATATTATAATTTGAGTTACATTCATTAATTTCAATTTTTGACTCCGATTTTACTCAATGTACATTACATTGAGTTAAATATTCTAGCTGCTACAGCTAGTTATGATTAGCCTTACTTAGCAATAGAAAGTTTAGTGAAAGTAAGCAGAAAATGTTAATGTTGTGGTTGTCATCATTATACAAATACAGAGACAGATATTGTTATAAGATAATAGTTCTTCTTATATGACCAAGGTGTTTGTCATTAAAAATTGATCACAAAATACTTTCAATAGTTCGGGTAAAGTTGTGTGCTATTAAAAAAGATTTTTATACTGATTCAATAAAACCTTAATGCATCTTTCTTATCAATCACCAAACTTTCCAAGTGCCAAAAATTTCAATGTAATAACATTTTTACAACTCTCATTAATAATGTGGATTAGATAAATTAGTTAGTTAGGAATTATACAAAAAATATTGTTTATGTATTAAGTTTAACTAGACTATATTATTTACAATTAACAAAGTTTATTTGATGTGAACTTTAGAATGAGATTGCAAATATAAAAAGCTGCTATGGATGAAATTTAGATCTGAAAAACCATTTCTGGTATTAAAATAATTTTTTGATGATCTATTTAAATGTGTGGGAAGTCCATGACTCAGGATCATGCTTTGTGGCAATCTGTGGGGGATGCCTATTCAGTAGTGGACTCTCAGGCTGAAATGATGATGATGATTAAATATTAATCTTTTTTACGTTAAACTATTGTTATTGATGTCCAATGTTTTCTGTTTTAATGGAGTAAAAATAGTGGAAATATCTGATTACATTAAATTTTCATGTTATCAAATCCTTATTTGTTCCCACAATACGCAATACTCATCTCTTTATATGTAAATTTAAATTAATATATCTTAGGAACAAGTGATGATAAAGTGTCCGTGGTTTGCGTGATGCAAACATTTGCGATCTAGCCACGTATCGTGCGTACATTGCCGCGTGGGTGTGTCGCTTTTATTCGTGTAGGTCAGTGGGCCGGCGATGTAGACCGCGTCACGCGTTTTATTGCGGTTACGAAAAATGTTATTTATAATTCCCCGCGCTTTCGTTGTAACGATCTCTACAACGCGTAATGCGCGTCGCTGCAACGCTTGATGGTGTTGTTTATTGTCGTTAGGCCATTACCTACTCAATCTTGTTTGTAATACGAACTATTTTTAATTGTTTTCCTTTTTTCTTGTGCGTCTTCACGGTTTCGTGCATTCTGAATTTAATAAAACACAAAATTGTCTAGCTTTTCTTTCATAACAGAAATTAAAAGAATGCTCTGTATAATTATAAATCAATTACTCAAACCTAATTATTCGAATATCTTGCATAATATAATGTCTCATTCGTTTGTTAACTTCAATAATTTTAATCTACATTGTGATCGCGATTTTCGTATGTACGCGTTACGGGAATAACGATCCATGATTAAAACGTCACGGCGTCTTACGTAATTACCGCGCATGATAACTCAGTAAAAATAATCAGAGGAGCGTGATCCTATAAGGTTAGACTTACACGATTTATTAATTGACCGAAAGCAATTCAATATTTAACATCATTAGGTGAAAGATGCTGCTTGGTAAGAGCAACTCGTTAGTATTTATACTTGTAGACTCAAAAAGTGATGCGCTGTTTCAACCATTTAGTTACTGCCCATTTGGTAAACATGTTGAACGGAAACATTATTCCAGTATTAAGTCTATGGGTTCCTGAAGAGACTCAAGAATTTCGTTGACTCGTAAATTGTTACATTTCTAGATTATCAACCCACGTCTAAGAGAGATTGTACAAGACGTAATTCGTACATAAACAATGACCTACGTAACTCATCATAATTACACCGAATATGCGGCGGTCGAACAAATGCTTAGGACGAGACGGAATCGAACCGACTATAAGTGACGCTGATACCTATCGTTTTTGGACTGCCGACTTAATGTCCATATTACCATATAATATGTTAGAGGTCACCAAGCTTTCGCAGTTACTATGCAACAAAGCCTTATTCATGCAAATAAATTCCATTGTATTCTTTAGGCTTCCTCGCCGCGGGTGATTGTATCCATTCTCCTCGTGGACTAATTATTATTACTGTTATAATATAATATTTTTTTTTGAAGTTTATTTATGAAGAAAAAAGTATTGTATTACCAGCCATACAAAAATTTGCGTAAAACGCTCTCTTATAGGATCCAAAGTGCTCACAACACAAGTCGCTTTTTTGTTATAACTAGCTGTGTTCCCGCGACTTCGTCCGCGTGGAATGTAAAATGAATAAAATTTCTTAAATAAAAGTAGCCTAAGTTACTCCTTATTACATCAGCTATCCGTCTCGTCAAAATCGGTCCAGCCGTTTCTGAAATTAGCTGGAACAAACAGACAGAAATTGGAAAAAAAAGCTGGAAAAACAAACAGACAAAAATTGGAAAAAAAGTTATTTTGGTAAATGTTCCGTGTGTCCATATATATTTTAATACCACAACCGGACACTCCAATTTTTTATCTCTATATATTGGTGCACCATGTGTCCAAATTTCAATGACGATTCGATCGAACTCAATGACCGTAGGTCAGACGTAACATTGCGGGCATACGTGGAACGAGTGGCTGCCAAATCCTTGACCATTTTACATAATCGTAATTAGTCATCGGGCCCCGCCGGAACCGAACCCGTGACCTCGCGGTCGGGGCCCCGCGCCCAATGCCGCGATTGCTATTCCCCGCATATAAAGCGACGCAACGTGCGGCTAGCTCGTATCACGCACGTTGTGGGTACCTTTGTACCTCTATTCACTGAGGGCAAACATACCTCAGACGGTGATTCGTAACAATGCTCGCTAAGGTAATGAACTAGAACTAGACGATACCCGTGACCGCGTCTGTATGTATGTCCGTCGAGTTTAGTATCGCTGTGCGTTATGGGAAGCCTTTTTATTTGTAAATGTAAGCCTTAATTTGGATTGCTTTAGTATCTTACAGCGTCGAAACTATTGCGTTATGTTGTCCGCCATCTTTGCGAGGAATCGCATGTTTGTTCATGGACAACGTGTTCGCTTATGGCCCGGTGAGTGACGCAGTGTCTTTTAACCCATAGAAGCACATGTAACTTTTGAAAATATTATATAGGTAGATTTGCCAGA